AGTTTCATTCTGTTTCTGTTCACTTTAATGAAGTTACGATGTTATGATGATGGTAAAGTGACTGTTTTTGGTTCCTGGTTATATAAAATGTCTCTGTAGGGATCCTTTCCATAATGCTGTCAGACACTTAGAACAACATGAGCCTGTCAGTGGCAAAACAAGCACTGTTAGTGGATCTACTTGGAAGCATTTATCCCCAAAGATTCACTTGTTACGGGTTTATTTTCACCAAACCAGTGTTAGTGATTGTTGGAAAGACTAACAGACTGTTTTGGTAAGTTTTATATTGTTTCTGTCCAGTTTGAAATGTCTGGTAGGCAGTAGTGCTCTGAGATGCTCTAGTGCAACATCTACTGGTATTTCTTATATATAACTTATATAAAAAAAGTGTCTTCTTAATAATATTTCTACTAAACTAATACACTGAAGCAAAAGAAAGTGTGTGTGTGTGTGTGTGTGTGTTTACCTTCTGCTGTACAGTGGTCTGTCCTTGCTGCAGCTGTCCCACTTTCTGCTGCGCCGCCTGAACTGCCGCCTGCTGCTGCTGCTTCTTCATCTGAAGCAGCTGCTGAACCTGCATCTGGGGGAAGGACTGCGTCAGCACAGGCCCGCCTGACAGAGAGGAGACAATTGGACAATTAGGAAGGCTTTAGGACAGGTCAGAACGACAGACCAAAAAGAGTGTGGTACAAAAAGGATCAGAATAACAGAAACTGAGACAGAATTTTGAACTTTTCATAAGCTCAGATGAAAAATGTACACGGTCAAAGACCTTTAACGCACCTGTTTTCTGGGCCTGACCGATGGCCACACTAATGCCCGCACTAATGCCCGCCATGGTGACTGGCAGCGTAGTGACGCCAGGGGATGAGACCACCGGCATTACCCCAGGAGGCTTGGTGAGGGTCACCTGGGCCGTCTGTCCTGCCTGCGCCTGAATCTGGCCCTGAGTGGACACTCGAGTCTGTGGAAGGAAACACAACCGGTGTGAGTGTCGCCACGACCACCAGAAGAAAGATGTACAGAGGACAATGTTTCTGCTTGGGGTTGTAATTTTAAGGGGTGTAAGGAAACTTTTTGTAAATAAAACTAAATGAAATTGTTACTTTCAAGATCTAAACACAAGCTATATTCAGAGAGAAAAGTATGCAATTAAAACAATCAAAGAGCTAATAGAACAATGTTAAGAAAACACTAAATGTGTCAAAAAAGAAGCCTATTAAGTATTTATGATTGTTAAAAATGATAAAAATACATAATACAGACAGAATTTATATAAAATATCAGTAAAAACTCATTTCTGATCAATATTCACAGGAAATAATCTGCTCAAAATTCATCCAAATCTCTTTTTTCCTTTTTCTTTTTCGACTGATTTGGTGAAAACCTATAAGACTTCTCAATTACATCCACTTCTAAGTGTTAATGTGTCATGGAAGGATCCTTTACCAGTCTGGCCACCTGCAGGTTGGTGACGGTGGGGCCTGTCAGCACGGCTCCAGGTCTGGTCGCCGCCACGGCTGCTAGTTGAGTGTTGGCTTGGGCGGCCTGAGCGGGCTGCACCTGGGTGGCCTGCTGGGCCCCTGCTGCCTGCTGGCCCTGGGCTGCTGCTGCCGCTACCGCTGCGGCGACCTGCTGCTGCTGCTGCAGCTGCAACTTATGCTTGTGCATCTTTAACAGACAATGAACAATTTTCAGTAGATGACAGGTTAAAATCCAATAGAGGCCTTTAGTGCAGCTATTGTGTGAAGGTGCTGGGGTGTACCTGGGGTTTGCCTACAGCTTTCATCTGTGGGGAAGCTGCCTGCTGTTGCTGCTGTTGCTGCTGCAGCTGTTGCTGTCGGAGCATCTGCAGCTGTGGTGGCATAATCTTTCCTTGCAACTGCACTCCTGTGGCTGGATGGAGGACAGCAGATAAGTCAAGATCCGTACAAACTGTGACCTGAGGGATGTCTCTCTGAAAACTCGACTTGTTTCTCAGCTATCGATATCAACTGCTACATTTCTGGTATCCTGACATCTCTACGTCTCATCAGAGAGAGAGTGGAGTTACCTGATGTGACCTGAGTGACCAGTGGGCGAGTCTGTGACTGCACCGGGCTCAGAGTGGTAGAAACTACTGCAGACGCGGTCACCGGGGTAACGGTCCGAACACCCTGACCTGTGGCTATGGCGACCACTTCAGTGGGGGCAGCAGGCGTCAAGGCCCTCTGTTGTGCGTGGACCACCTGTGCTCCAGCTGCACCCGCAGGCTGGACCGACAACGAAAAATAATAACAAGGAGCCAATGAGTGTCAATGTTTGAGAGTGAGGGCAGCTCTGTGGACCAGTTTGATTTGGGATTGCAGGTGTGGAAATTGAAGGATATTCTGAGGAAATCTACTTGTGAATCAACAAGTAAAGCAATTTAATCTAAAACAGCAAGTCGGCAAGAGCTTAGGCCACCATTTGAGACACTAAATGAATGCCGAATGTAGAAGGGCAGAACAGGGAGGCATTGTTAGCTGTAAGGTATTTAAACGTTTTGACACAATGGAAACCATTTGTACTCTTCCTTCCAAGTGTTAACAGGAAAAAATACTAAAGATTGAGATTATCGAACATGCTCGTGGGCCCTCAGGCACCATGTTGGAGGGTTAGTGGGTGTGCACTCTGCTTCATGCCAGCGCAAAAGGATATTTGCGTCATTAATTCCTGTAAGCTACGAGGGTGGCTGAGTTAAGCCAGAGCAGCGGTGATAAATGAACATGACTCACAGACAGGGTGCCTGGTATGACTGGAGGTGCCAGGCGTTTGTTGGCCTGGAAGGGACTCGCAGGAACTCCAGCTACTGTGTTCACAATCACATTCCCGCCTACAGTGGCTGGAAGAAAACAAGAGAGAAATGAATTAACTACTGGAGCATTACAGCTCTGTAATGTGAACCATATGTGTGTCCACGTACCAGCCTGGATGGTTGTGCCCACCGTGGCATTTTTTATGGCTCCGGCCTGAAAGAAACAAATAAAATGTGTGTGTAAGAGCTTTTACTGGGCACAGCGGCTTTGTTTAGGTCGAGGAATATTAGGTGGATGATTGTTGTTCTTACCAGAACAGCTGCATTGGGCACAGCAGTGGCTCCGGTCACTGCGGCAGCCTGAGGGACCTGAGCCTGAGCCTGGCCAGCAGCGGGAGCCTGCGCCTGGCCTGGTGCGGCCTGGGCCTGGGGAGCTCCAGTCTGCTGCTGCTGGGCCAACTGCTGGGCCTTCTGCTGCTCTGCGAGGGCCTGCGAACACACACACACACACACACACACATAACGTCAAACACAAATGCAGAAACATGTCGGCGGGGACGAAAAACAAGCACGACTTGGATCTGAAACAGAAAGCAGGAGGTGCTCCTGCTTCTACCGTCGATATGTGTCAGCCTCGGTTTTAATCTTTTAGTCTAGCTTTTTTAACTTTTGTACTTGTACCGTTCCTTTTTCTTGTACACGGTACCTGTCAGTTGCAGCCTGAAAGGGATAGGCAACTATCTGAACCTTGGCGTAACACTACAACAGCAGCTTTCTCTGATTAGCTGCAGTCAAACCAAATGCTATCTTTCTTCCTAGCAGCCCACGGCACATCGTTAAAGTAACGCATCACCTTTTTCTCCTTGGCAATCCTTTCAGCACGTTGAGAGGCCACCTGAATGGGAGGTAGGGGCTTATCGTAGCTGATCCCACTGCAGAGAACAAAAACAGATGTTATATGCTTCCTTCTTCATTTCTGAACTTAATGTTTAGATGTTAATAGTACAACAAAAGCAACATTAAACACACCTTTCTGCCAAGACTGAAGCATGTTTTGGATTCTTCTGGAATGGATTCATGCCGAGCCTGGAAGTAGTATAAATTAAATTAATACATTTTGAAGGACATATCCCATCTGAAGTTGATTTCACTCGTTTGTTAACACAGAATAACAAAATGGTGATGGTTTCTTGGTTTCCATCAATCAGGCTTTGGCCCATGTTTCTGCATTGCAATAACACAATGATTCATGCACAACAGCTGTTGTTATGGGAGACTGTTTACACTTTTAGGATGTGCATTGAGGTTGGACGATTGATTGCTGTTTGTGTTTTTTGGCTGATTTCTTGTATTTTATTTTGCTAATTTAATGTTCAGCCTCCAAAGAATGAAAGCTGGACAAAACATTCGTGATCGCACATTAAAACAAGAGACGGAAGATAAGAAACAACGGTACAATTCTTTTCAATTTTCAATTTTTTAGTACCCGGATCGAATGAGTCAGGGGTCAGTGATGCATTCGAGAGCTGAAGCAGTCTTAAGCTAAGTCCTAACACCACCCCACATGCCCTCCAGCAGAGGTAGTAAATGCATCAAATTTACATGTTATTGTTGTTCTGAAGAAGCGAAAAATAGGTTTCCATCTGAACATGTGAGCAGATCTTTTTCCAGGTCTCTGTGGGAACTGGTTCCAGTAATTGCAGCTTTTTCCTATTCAATTTAACTTAAATTGCAAATATAGTGGCTTATCCAATGCACCATACACACCAGAGTTAATGTTGCCTGTCAAACTATTAATGTGTTTATTAATCAACAGCCTTTCCACTGTCTTGTATCCCCCCCACACACACACTTTTATAAATGTCCTGTGTCTGATAAGACAAACAATCATTAGTACTTACAGTGGTTTGATTGGTGGGCTCCTCTTGCTGGCAATGATCTTCATGAGTTCAAAGCGGCTGTTGTAGAGCTGAATGTGCGTGGCATTGTCGTCCTGTGTGTAGATCTGACAGGTCCTCAGAGGACGACTGTTCTTAGACTGAGCGTAGACACACGATACAAAGACACACACAACAAAACGTGAAGCCAGGAATTCAAGAGCAAAGAAACGTTTAACAAACACAAAGACCCGGATCAGGAAGACCCGGATCAGGTACCTTGTATATGCTCTTGGTTTTCTTCTTGGGGTTTGCCTCATACACCAACTGAAAAGAAGTTAGAGACATGGTTTAGACAAACAAATACAAGGTGAGTAAGCCAGTTTTACAGCACAGCAGAGCGTCCATTACCTTGCCCTCTTCTCTGGGAATGATGACATTCTCGTAGCGGTTGCGACACTGTTTGGGCGAGCGGTAGATGCGGCTGCAGGAGTTCACCACATCGCTCACCAGATCCCAGTTAGGAGTGTGTGCAGGAGACACGATCGTCAGGTTGAGAGGCAACTCCAGCAGCTGCTTTACAGCCTGTGAGAGACACACAGAATACATACATGAGCAATTCTAGATTTACTTGGAGAGAAAGATCATCCTGGAAGCGGTTAGTTGAGGCAGTACCTGCAGCAGAGCCCAGTCCTCACTGATGAGCCACTCTGGGTTGTCCTGACCGGCCTCCATTGCGGGTTTAACCAGCGAGGGTAGTGGCTTGGCGAAAGGCGCCTGCTGCTTGAGGGAGAAGTTCTTTTTCTGGTCCTTGCCCTCGCGGCGAACTTTCAGCATACTGGCCTTTTCGAAAAGGGAGCGCGGAGGAATGACCGTCTCTCCATGGCCCTTCTTCTTCTTTCTGGCTGCTGCTGGACAAACACACTCGAGTGAGGACAGAGAAACCAAACAAACCAGCAAAGACACTTCGGCACAGATCTACTATGCTACTATACTAAACTCTTTCCCTTAAAATCAGGGTTTCTACAGGTTTTTAAGCACATTATGAATGCTATTTTACCTATTTTTACACCCATACTGGAAAAATTGGTCATGATGGTTTCATTTTGTAGTTATAATAAAATAATAAATGCAGTAAATGTATATGTAACTAAATATATAATAACAGCATGCACTGTACTGACACATACTGCTGTACAAAAGGCCTTAATGACAAATCTCCTCTCACCTGACGGGTCCATCTTGAGTCTCTTGTGCTCCTTGCGGATGTAGACCGGAGGCAGCTTGGACTCCGGCATGGGTGTGGTGTCGTACATCAGCATCATCACAGAGTCGATGTAAATGTCGTTGTCATCCTGTGGCGGTGTGGGCGGAGTCCAGAGCTGTGTCAGAAAACCACAAGTCAGAAAAACGGAGATCCAAATTTACAGATAAGGTCAAATCAGTTGTTTCTGTCCACTTCAAATACTGAATTTTTCCACATTTGATGTCTTACCGGCATGATTTCTGTGTGGCCGTCCTCTGCATCAAACACATACTCCTGTTGAAAGGCAGAGAAAATGTTAACAACCAATCCACACACCGCTTGTTGTTTGATTAGCAGAGATCACAGTGGCCACCCACCATGTTATAGGCATCCTCTCTGGTGTAGGTGAAGAGATCTTCGTCTCCCTCCGTTATCTGCTGCTCCTCCTCCTCCTCCTTCAGCTTCTGCAGCTGCTGCTGCTCCCAGCCTCTCTTGGAGCACTCCAACCGCTCCTGAGGGAAATAAACACAGAATAAGTGTAAAATCAGTCGAATCCATCAAAGAACATATAGTACACTGAAATACCAACATAGTGACACAAATTATTAAACAATTAAAGGACTGACTGTCACATATATACTACACTAAATCTGTAAATTAGAGCTGCAATTAACAATTAATCTGTTGATAAATTTCTCGACTAATAGATTAATTATTTGGTCCATAAAATGGTGATCACCGTCTCCCAAATCAAAAAATACCCACAGATATTCAGTTTACTGTTACAGACTAAAGAAACCAGAACATATTCACATCTGAGAGGTTGAAATCAGAGAATTATGACATTTTTTTTAACTTAAAACACTGAAAAGGTTATCACTTAATTTTATAATTGACTAATTGTTGCCACTCTACTGTGAATATAAACCTAAAATAAAAATAATCTTTGGTTACCTTGAGAGCAGTTTCATCATCACTGATGTGGAGGTACTCCAGGTAATGCAGGGCATACCTTTCGATTGGTGTGAGCTGTTTTGAGAGATGATACAAATATAAGCTCGGCGAGACCAAAAAACAGCGTTTTCATTATATTTAATTTCCAAAAAGTATATAAAATAAGTACAGCTACCTGTTCCATGACTGCGTTCAGCTCCTCTTTGTGAGCAGGCTCTTCTTTAGCTTGGCTCTCTGACTCCTGGTCATCCTCTGGTGACTCCTTGCCTGCTAACTCCTCCTGCTCCTCCTGCTGCTGTTGCTGCTGCTGCTGCTGCTCTTCCTCCCCTGCATCCAGGTTTATGCTGTGGAGAGCCTGGATGTAGGGTCGAGCCACTCTGGGAGAGATGGCTTCAGAGGCCGAAGGCTCCTGGTGAAGAACCACAAACTCCTCCACCTTCTCCCCCGAGCCCGCCTCCACCTCAAACAGATCCTGGATTGTCCGCTAGAAACACACAACATCAGTTAGTGTGAGTTCCAGCTTGAATTAAAGTATTTTTTCAAGCAACTAAAAAGAATAAAGGTGTGTAGAGTTTCTAAAACTCCAGGACAAGACCAGAGTTCATCTTACCTGTGTGAGGAAAGCCAAGGTGTAGTCCGTACCCTGGGCCGCCACCTCTCTGATCAGGTCCTTGGTGCCGTTCTTTAGCAGCTTCTCTTCAATGGAGTTCCCGCTCTCCAACCTGGGCAACACACAAAGTTACCAACAATAGCACCAAAGCCCTTCAATATCAATGTTTCGGAGGTTAAGTTACATCTAGAGCTGATCAGTGGTCTGTTGATAATCACCTGTATATGTGTATATCCTTGGAACGTCCTATTTTGTCACACCACTCCTGGGTGCGGGCGTCCATGCTGGGATTGAGGTCTGTGTCGTAGAAGATGATGGTGTCTGCGTCAAAAACAGTCCCAACTGCAGAGCAGCAGCGGTTGGTCAGGATGCTGCAGAATACCTTCCTGTTCCTGTTAAACTTCTTCATATTCTCCTGCAGGGACACAACATCAAAGCACGTTAACAAACTGGGACAAAGGCTAATAAAAGAAGCTGCTGACAGTATTTCTTTTCAAATTTCCCTCATTTAAGTTAAGTTATCGTTTATTAATCCCTGTAGGGGACTTCATTCTCTCCTAAGTACTAGGCTGTGAGGACAAACTCCAGATCTGAGTGCCTTGGAGAATTACCCTAACATATGCAGACTTTCTCTATGTTGCAGGAGGCCGCAGAACCTGAGGAAACCCACGCAAACATGGAGAGAACTGCACACAGAAAGTCCCTGCCAAGGACCTTCTTGCTTGTGAGGCAACAGTGCTCACCACTGAGCCACTGAGGAACATTAATCTACATATATTTCTTGTATATTATTAACAGTAAACTAATAATAAGTCCCCACAGGGTCATTATCCATTTTGATGTGAGTGCTGTTGTCTGCATGTTTATGTTCTTACAGCAACACCAGGTCCAGTTAACTGATCCAGAAGGAGGGATTACATAATAGACCATAGGGTTAGATTAAATCAGGACGGGAGCATTTAAGATTTCAAATTTCACAGTTCAGGCAGACTAATAGCATTTTACAGTTGGAAAAAGTGTGCAGCAGCAAATGACTGCAGGGTTTCCTACTCTTTAAGAAATAATTTCCCGAGCCTTTTCCAGGACAGCACTTGCTCACAATGGCGGTCAGTGTTTATTAAGACGCTCCACGTTAACTTGCTTTCTCGGCGTGCTTGGCTGTTGGCTCACCACAGCAGAACACAGTACAAATCAAGTAGAATTCATTTTATTTTAAAGAAAACTCATCTTATTGCTCACCTATTAGCCTATTAAAATAAATGTAGAAAGTATAAGTATTTATTGCATGTACAAAGAACAATTATCAACCACAACGACAAATTTATTTTGAGTGAGGGGCAAAAATACAATTAAAATCTTCCAGTTCAACATAGTTATTTTCCAGGATATTTGGTAATTTTAATGACTTTCCAGGCGTTTCCATGGCTGAAAAACTTGTCTCTAAATTTCCAGGTTTTCCAGATATTCCAGGATGCATGGGAACCCTGTAATGTCTATTTACTACTACTCTACTAATTTATGCTTTTTCATGGTTTAAATGCTGACTGGAGACAGGAGGAGCAACTTCAGGACCCTTTATACAACAGGGTTGTTACTGATCTATGTAACATGTGAGTCATTCTTGGGTCTCTTGTGACTTTGCTGTCATATGACCACTGGTGTAAACACTTTGACGTATGCAAGACAAAGGATGAACAGTGTTCAGAAGTGTCTTGAATCACGAGGAGGAAAGACAGAGAGCCTACATACACTGTTTCCCTTCACGGCACATGCTTGCCCTCTACTGGTTAACTGTCTTAACCGTCTCATTCGCTCTCTGGGACAACTGTTATCGCTCTAATTACACGGATCATTTCCAGTGTCATAACAGCACATTTTGATGTGGCAACACTGAATTAATTTCAGTTAAGAAGCTGAGTTATGCCTCATTAAGATCAATTAAAAAAAAGGTGTTGACTCTACCTGTCGTTCGTCAGGAGTGAAGCTTTCATCCACCCGCACATACGTGAGCTGCCTGTGATCCAGGAAGGCCTCCAGGATGTCGAGCATCTTCACCATCTGAGTGAAGATGAGGACACGGCGGCTGTCTGACCTGAGCTTCTGCAGCAGAATGGCAAGAGCTTCCAGTTTGCCTTTGGAAGAAGAAAAGATTAAAAGTTAGCGCTCTTGGCACGGTCAGACGTTTCAGTTTGTTGTGTTTCAAGGTTCATTTTAGTTGTTGAGTTACAGTAACTATGTTTCCAGGACAATGAGACAAAAACAGTATATAATATACAGATAAAATGGCTTTATTTAATTGTTTTTTCCTTCATATTTTTCCTTTAAACTGCCTAAAGTGCAGACAGAGGATTTATTTTAAATTATATTTAAATATTGTGCATTAATTTATTTCCCTGTTTTCTGCTGCATGTAAACAAATATCAAAACAGTTGCTGGGCTAACCGGAGTCCATCTGCATCAGCTGCAGGTCAGGAAAACGGAAAAGACGCCTGGACGCCAAGTGGTGGATGTCAGCGCTGTGGGGGCCGGAGGCCTCCTGTAGCCGACGGTGAAGAGACTTCCGCTCGAGGCTGTAGGGAACCGGGGGATTGGCTGCATACAGGTGAGGAGGTGGAGCTACAGCTGGAGGCACCACACATACCAGCCTAAAAGAGGAAAGATAAGAAGATGAGATAAAACATAGGAAATTTGTGTTGTGATAAAATGCTCTTAAAGTAGATTATTTACTTGTTTAATGCAATTCTAACAATGCCGCTAGTAAGCTACATATAACCAAAATGCATGGGTTTAGGTATTTTATGATGGTTTCTGACAAAAAGTGCAGTAGAGAATAAAGGCAGCTTTGATACTGAGGTGAAGTACCTCTTGATAAGGCTGTTGGCAGCCTCCAGGCGGTCCTCCACAGACAGCAGAGTGGACTGCAGTGTAGAGGCTGTGGCAACGCATGTTCTCTGGGCCCTGAGGCAGCTCTCTCTGCCCACCCACCTCCAGCCTCCAGCAGTCAGGGCTGAGTGACCGGGCTCTGAACTCAAAGTGCACGCCTGCAGCAGGTCTGAGCCGTACAGCACTCTGCGGCTACAGCGACGCTCGTTGGCTTGAAGCAGGCGGCTCAAACGCTCCTTCAGCTGCTGGCTCTTTTCTTCCGAAGACTCCTGAACGTTACAGTGAGAGATTGTACACAAAAAACACAATTATTTTAATTAATTATTTAGTCTACATGCAGTAAAATGCAAAGGATTCTTAATTATTATCATATTATTAAGTATGAGTGTATGTACTGACCTGAGAAGCAGCATGAGCTGCAGTGGCAAGCTTGGAGGGGGACGATGTGGCATTTGTGGTCACACCCAATGCTTATAAAGAAATATATAATGTCAATAGAAGAATAAATTCTGTCTATTTCTATCAAAAGCAGTATTAAACAGTAGTTAACAAACATATTGTACAGGAAAAGAGGAGAAGGAAGCAAAACAATGTATTAACAGTCAGCATTATAATATAATATTAGTACTGGAGGGCGTTACTAAATAATTTATGAGGACAGTTAATTAGAGATAATAATGCAGTGTCTGCGCTGTGGATGAGTCACCTTGTTGGGCTGCTGACAGGGCGGGATGAGGTGTTCCAGGTGTAGTTGAGGCGTTGGACGTGGGAACAGCTTGTGGCATTGTTTGCATTACCATGGATCCCTGGGGCCTGATGATCTGCTGCCCTGGAGCCGACACAATCTGCAGGATGTTGCCTAAAATTGACACAAATATAAGCAGCTAACATTAGAGGCGAATGACACAAAACGACATAAACTTGGCTGTTAGATTAGAAAAAATAACTATCATGCAATCAGAATTAAGCTTAAAGTCCAAGTGAAATCACATTACTTTTTGTATTATTAATAGTTTGTATCATTAAAGGGAAGAAGCCGACTGGAGAGATGCCCTGTCTGAGTTTGACTGACAGCAGTGCCAAACTGGCACTGTAGCCAATATTTCACGGGCAGACAGCATGTTGTTAGTGATATTGAAAAGTTAGGACGACACCACCATCTAACTAGACCCAAGTGACATTCGCAGGTCCGTTAACACGCTGTGCCGACGTGTTTAATGCGTGCCAACTGAGCAGCTAATTAGCTATCTAGCAGAAAATCTAATCCGCAGTACACTTTCCACTGGTGAATGTTTGTTTTGTGGCTCTTCCAAGACGCTACGGTGCAGGGAAAGATGTGTGTTCATGTTTGGAAGTCGGATAAGAAGGAGACTTTAGCAGAAAAGCTAACAGTGGGTTGTTGTTCAAAGTCTGTGTAGCACGCTGGTGTTTGGCATGTCGCCTTTACTAACAGCTTATATCAGAAAGGCAGAAAAACATGGGGACAGAGGAGGGTGTCACGCAACAGAAGTCCCCCACCAAAATTAAACCAAGGAAGTAGCAATTGCATGGTATGAGTCTGAAGCACGAGCCCGCCTGGATTCAATGCCTTGAGCACTTGCAGACAAGTAGAATAAGCATCCAGAGTTTTATATAAAAGGTCTAAAAGCAGGTGAATTACATGAAACACAAAAGAATTAAGAGAATTATTTACAATTAGTGTGAAAATGAGATATACATCACCGAGTGTACCTTGGAGCTGCAGGGGCTGTCCGGTGGTGAGCTGGCGGAGCTGGCTGGGGGACAAAGTGAACTTGTTACCCTGAAACTGCAGAGTGACGGGAGTCTCAGGCTGGGAGATACGATTCTGACTGCCCGCTATGTTGGCCAGCTGGGCGATCTTCACCACATCTCCACCTTCAACGGAAAGAAAGAACAAACCCCTCATTTAAAAGTCAGCACAAAAAAAAAAAAAGCCTTCTGTGACATTTTAACAGTTACTAAACTATATACTCTGCATCAGTTAGTTAAAGGGTGAAAAAGAGACAAAACATGCAGAACCAGGGTGGATTAATCAGAGGAACGAGCACAGCCGCCCGCCCTCCACAACAGAACCATAGCAGCTCCTACTTTTACAAACCCTGAAGGGAAAAGAAAACAGCTACAGGGGGGCAATCCTCAGGTGACACAGAGAGCCTGAAACATACACATAATGCACATAAAGCACTTTAAGGCAACACACTAGTCACCAGGAAGTATTCTTAATGACTGCTGTCAAACAATAATATCCTGTTAGTTGAAAGTCTTTGAACACCCTCCAGCGATCATTATTTATAATTATCTGTTGTACTGTTTACAATGAATACAGTAAACTATATTAAATACAATTATTGTGTGTATATTATTTTATATAATTGTTTCAATTATTAGCGTCTCGTCGTTCAGATCGCCTGGGTTTTCTCCCCAGATGTTGTCACCATCTGGACTTTACATTACATTATGGAGGACAGCAAAAATTTGTGAAATAATTTTAACCTCGGACAGCAATGGCGTCTTTTCCCTTTCTAACTTTTATTCTTTCCTGCTGGCTTCAGCTAATTTTACCGTCATGCTCTCAGCATGTGATCCATGATGATAAATATGATGTCTGTCATCTACCGTCTGCCTAAATCCATGTGAAAGCAGCATAGACGCCTGTGGGGGGTTAAAAAACCTCAGACTGGCAGTGTAAGTCTCAGTACCATGCCAATTTTAGGAAACAATAATTATACAATAATAGCCTCCAAAAAAAGTGTTTTAGTAAATTAAAAAAATGTTGGGATCGTAGGATTTAGTAACGTTTGGAAGATATTACAGCTTGTGGTGAAAAACCTATGCACAAATATTAATAATCTACAGAGCTCTGCAGCTATCAGAGAAAAATGATTTGACCATTTGAGCACAAATTAGTAACAGTGATGGAAACACCCAGTAAGTTTTCAGGCTAAATGGTTCGTATATAATTTGGTAAACAGATTTTGGTTGTTAAACACAGTTATATCTCACATCCCTTAATAGATTGCTATTAACTTAATTAAGTATTTACAAGACAGAAATTGCTAATTAGCGGGCACAAGATATTGTACATGACTCATTAAGTCAAGCTTACATAGCGCTGATTTATGCACACAATAATCAAACATCTGCTGGGCTAAAATAATATTTAAAATGTGTTTACTTTAAGAACATTTAGAGGGTTTCAGCAATCTTAGTTTAACAGAAGCTGGGTTTTCAAAAAAAGTTCTCCTTTTTATATATTTTCAAATACTGTGTGTTGTTACTGAAAAGGTTTCTCTGTTCACATTTGAGGCAGAAAGGGTTGTGGGGCCATTTCCACATGCTTTGCAGTGATGCTCAACATCAGAGTGAAATCATAACATCAGCAAAGAAAAACAAAAAAAGAAAAGAACCAAAGCTTTGGGATTTCTTCCTGCAGCTGGGCTGATGCAAGAGACAACAGAATATTAGTAAACTGGGAGAAAAAATGATTAAAAAGAAGTGGGGAGGACATAATAATTGAGTTAAATAGTGTAGTGGTGTGGGGCCAGTGGAACGGAAGTGGGTTGTTCACAGTGTACATGCAGGTTTTTTTCGAGAAAGAAACTGGGAGAATGCTGAGGCTTTGGAGATGCTGCTGATATGGCTACAGATCTAATTTTAAAACCATGAGATGTATGAATATTGACACATGGCATCTCTTCATTTACCAAAAAATGTCCGCACCACCAATGCACATTAGAGTCTATGTAAGAAAGCCAGTTTATTCTTGGATGGAGTAAAGACTGAACACATATCAGCAGTGCCTCGAGTGAAGGCCTCAGCGTAGAGCAGTCCATTCTGGTGAAATGCTGAGAGGGAGGGGAGGGGAGGCCACTTACTAGGCAACCGTGCCTGGGCCTGGGATGTAAGAACCAGCCTCTGGGACAGTAAGCTGGGCTGGAGCGCATGGCTGGGGGCTAGAGCCGGCCTGGGGACCTGCGCTAATCCAGGCTGGCTGATGGGAGCTATGGATCCCACAACTGTGCCCAGGGCCACCGAGGCGGCCCCCAACACATGCTGCCCAATGCCACTGTTCCCAGAGGAGGCTACAGCGGAGGCGGCAGTGTTGCTGCTGCTGCTGACAGGAGGGGTAGTCTGGGCTCTCTGAGTAGCTGTTCCAACCGCTGTGAAGTACAAGGCAATGGGGGTATGGGACTACATGTTAGGGGGTATGACCCAATATTTAGTCAAATCATCAGTACAGTTTCCTCCGTATATTCACTCAGCAGTGGTGGGCCAGCACAGCAAGCATGAAACATATATGACCTAAATATGAACAAAGTTTTTACTTGGCTCTATACAAACTGATTAAACTATCGTTGAAGTCTTTTGAAAACTGCTTTAAAAACTGCCTTGCTCTCAAACCTTCGACAAACTGCGTAATACATAGTTTAGCCGACATCCTCTCGCCACCGAACTGAACTCATGTTTCCAGTATAATTGAAAAGCTTGCTTGTGCTACAGCTCATACATGTTTTTGTGAGTGCCCTGATCGGAACTGTTAATGTCCGACTCTCAACAGAGATGAAAAGAAAGTGAGGTGGCTCACTACTTAGCTACTTCCATCCCAGGTCTTGCAGGAATGAGCATTTCTGCATCACAAATGTAATTTTTTAACTGAAAAATCTATCAAAATTATGATAATGTGACATATTTTAGGGTCTGTACCAAACAAATATGTTTTTTTTAAATGTGGAGAACAAGATTTGTTGGCCAGGACATCTCTGCGGCACTAAAGTACTTCATTAAGATGCTGTTTATGACACACATTTCATTTTAAAAACTACAGCTTACGTGATTTGGATACTGCGATAATATTTTGATTAATTGTGCAGCCCTGTTCTATCATCAGCTCCATGTGAGTGTTTAATTCTTTTAAGCAGTTACAAGAGATCAGGGCAAGTTATCACTAAAAAGGAGTGGGAAACTGCCTGGCAACAAAAGCCTTATATTTATTTACTCTTATGGCTGTGCTGCCATTAAGGGAAAACAACGTCAGCCAGCCCACCACTGCTGCATGGAAGCATGAATGTAAACAAATGAAACCTCTGTGATCAGTGACACCGGCACATGAAGGTGTCCCAAACTGCTCCATAAAGCTGTAGGTTGAGGACCTGACATTTAAAATCCACACACTGTTTTAAAATGCTCAGCAAACACTTTATAAATGACCGTATGGGCACAGTGTTTTTAAGCACAGACACAGTTGAAGGTTCATTTAAAAATCACAATCATGCAGCATAACGCTCTATAATGCACACACCACATGGATAAAACTAGAATAAACACATTAAATAAAAGCACCAATAAGAAGGCTCTGAGTGGGTAAGTTTGTCTTTTAAACTTTGACGTCTGGAATCCTTTAGCCACTGTGAAAACAATATTTCCTCTCTTGTGTAATGACCCCTGAAATGGTCGTACCGTGCGAAGTGGGTGTGGTAGTTGCAGTGGTGACAGGGGTCTTGCCCCGGTTCTGGGCTGGCTGGCTGGTGGTGGAAGGAGTGGTGCTGGTAGCAGGAGAGCTCGTCAGAGGACGCTGACCTGCTGCGCCTGTGATGGCAGCCAGGCGACCTTCTGGCTTTGTCCCATACTGAACAGGCTGGAACAATCTAACCAGGAAAGAAACATCAATAATCACCTTGTTTTAATGTCAGAATGTAAATATTAGGCTTACATTTAGAGGAATGTCCACATTAACCATGTTATATGTGGTTATGTATGGCTGACCTCATGGGTTTTATCGGGTATGGCTTGGGTCGTGGTGGTGGATCTGGAGCAGTGTAGATCTCCTCGATGAGCTGCTGTGTGACCTTTAGTTTGGGCACCGCCTCTTCAGTCTGATAGCGAGTCAGTCTGTTCTCGTTATTGATCAGATCAAATATGGACATGTTTGCGATCTATGAAGATGGTGAGATAAAAGACAAAAGCGGATCAATGCAGGTTGATTGAAGATATTATATAATAATATAAATATAATATAATATAAACACCAAAACAAAAGACAGACAGGGTCTCAAAGAAGAAGCAGACACGCAAACAAATAGAAGAATATAAAGTATTAAATTGTTGGACAGTTTATTCAACTAGGAAGAAACCAATGATTATTTTATTATCGATTATTAGATCAACTTTCTGTCTTTATACTTTTTATTTTGTTTGTCCACTGATACTAAAACAAACGTATCTGTTTGTACAGAGTGGCATTTGTATGATATTTTATAATGTCGACTCAAATGTTTTTTTATTGTTCTTATACATTTTATATTGTTATATTTTATTTATTTCCGGGGTAATTTGGGGTTTTCTTTGCACATATTGTATTGTATGGTATTGTAACTCTGTTTTTTCACAGGCTCTGTACAGTAGAAATAAATTATATGAATTATTATTATTTTATAATGTCATGTAATAAATAGTAAAGATAGAAAATCCTTACACGTCCCAAACATCCCGAATGTTTTTGTTCAGACAGTTAAACAGTGTCTACCTTGCTCGAGTCGTTCTGCAGAGCTCCCAGCACCAGTGACGGGACGTTGTATGGAAGAGAGGAGCAGAAGTAGGAGCTGCTGTTCTGTCTGGGCGCCACCAGTTCAGGGTGGTTACACACTCGCTGCAACTGCATCAAGACCTGAAGCACGCTGACAAAATGACCAGTCTTCAGCGCCTCCTGGGCTCTAGTGGGGCACACACAGACAGAGGATATGTTATGAAAGACAGTTCACAAACAAAAGAGAGAAGGAACCACTATTATAAAAGCTGTATGTTTTGACAAATTATACCAAATCTTTCATCTTTTCTCAAAACAGAGTGAATTATAAAAGGTCTTTCCCAGTAAAACTAATGTGTATAAGCTACAGCTAAGTGAAAACCGTACATTAATATCACAATATAATTCTCTATGTGGTGCAAATCTCTCACCCTGGTTGAGTGAGGATATCCTCGTAAAGGCTCTTCTGTCTGCTGGAGAGACGGCACTTCAGGATGTGCTCGTACTTTTTGGGCAGCTGTTTCTCCACGTCTCTTTTGGAGCGTCTCAGGATGAAAGGCTGGATCATCTACAGTTAAGAGAAGGGCAGGTGAGGCCGAATCAATCATGGCTTCTGATTTTGAATGCAGCTCAACAGGCAGAAGAAGTCTGCAGGCGTTACACTCACCCTGTGCAGGCGGATGACCAGTTTGTGGCAGTAGTCCTGGTTCTGGTCTGTGCCTGCCTTCACAGGGAAGTCGGAGTAGGACCTGGTGATTCCTGGCAAAAGGAAGTGGATCATAGTCCACAGCTCCTTTAGAGTATTCTGTAGGGGAGTGTTGATGAGGAGAATCCTCTGCTCGCTGAACACAGAAAACAAAAAAAGCATGTTAACCGTGATCCACAATACAGATTACAAATGAATTAACAAGCCTGAAAATCTTCTTTCTTATGAAACTGGACGTAATATAATAAGCAGCTCACCTTCTGAGGGCAAAGACGGTTTCCCAGTGTTTCTCAGTCATGTTTTTGATGAGCTGCACCTCGTCCAGGACCAGGTGCCTCCACCTTCTCCTCAGAAAGTGGCTGTGGTCTTTCATCAGCAGCTTGTAAGAGGTCACACAAACATGGAAGCTGTTGGCTTCCCCCCACCACTGTAATACAAAGATCAGATAATATATGTTTTATCACATTTACAGCCACAGGTAAAGTCGTCAACATGTATTGTTTAAAGCCAACCAGAAGTACCATTCTCTTAGATCGGCGCTCCCTTCTGTTGCCAAGGTACAGGAGGATCTTAAGGCCAGGACACCAGCGTTTGAACTCCACCTCCCAATTTAGCAACTTGCACGTCCTCACTACGATAAGGTGGGGTCCCCAGATGCCTGTGGACAGAAACACACAAGACATTCAATTAAAAAAATACAAATATTTACTATTATATATATATAAACTCATGTATGTCTTTAAACAGCAGCATACCCTCTTGGCCAGCTAAGTGGGCCATGTAAGCCACTGTCTGTACAGTCTTGCCAAGGCCCGTCTCATCTGCTAGGATGCCATTGAGGTGTTTCTTGTGAAGGTTTACCATCCAGTCCACACCAATTTGCTGGTATTCTCGCAGCGACCCATGCAGCAGAAAAGGAGCTGGGCTGCGGGTCTAGAAAAGAAAAGATCAGTTAGAAAATTATTTTAAAAAGCATCTTTTTTTGGTGCTTTTGTGTGTGAGTGTGTCTTACTGAGGAAGTGGTCCTGAAGCTGCCTTTAGGCAGGATGAGCTCTGTGGCAGCAGCCACTTCAGCGATGTCTCTTGCAGGCTTCCCATCAGAGTCGGAGGAAGAGGCTTTGTCAGCACCACGGAACTGGTCCACACTAAGCAGGGAGTCGATCAGCACCGCCTCAGGTGGACTTCCTGCAGCAGGACACTCCACTTCTGGAAAATAAAGCATATTTTAGAGTCGCATCGTTCACAACCATTAGGTTAAAACGGGTATTTCATTCATCAGTTACAAAAAGGCACCTTCGGTCTCATCCATGTCATCCTCATCACTGTGAGGACTAGGCTGAGGCCAGTCGAAGCTGTCAACGTAGGCGCCAGCATACTGCTTCATCAAAGCATCCAGAGGCATCTCAGCTAAAAGCCAAATACAAACGCATTTGAGGAAACAATACAGACACAAAGACGTTCTGATACAAGAACATTTGCAGAATCAGTGAGTTCTTTTAAGTCACATCTTAGAACTTATTTTTATAGACTTGACTTTATGTGATGCCATCTTTTTACTTCATTCTGTTTTACATACATTTTGTGTATCACAAACAAATCCTTTTGCTTTGTCTGTCAAAGCACTTTGTAAACTTTTAAAAAGGTGCTATATAAATGAAGTTATCGTTAATATTATTACTATATCTGGTATATTTAACCTGGCATTAAAAAAAAATGGTGCAATAATTTGTTTTTTTAGAAAAAGAATTATTTTCATTATATAAACACAAAATGTTTAACACAATAATTCACATTTATGAGCAACAGTAAAATACAGCTGCTTTGTTAACAATCTTGCGTAACATTATGTGCTTACATAATTATATATGTGCATATTATATAAAGCGATTTTCAGGGCATGATTACTCTAGGCCAGTGGTTTTCAGCCTCGGGTCCAGAGACCCCCAGGGAAATGGGGAATACCTTAATTTTGCTATTATATAATTGGTTAAAGGTTGGCCCAATGAAAGTGTTTAAGAATTACTACTGTGTTCACAGGTTTTATGCTCTTCAGTGTTAACCTGCTAATCTAAAGTATAGACAGTTATGGAATAACAATCTTATCAGATGGGATTTTATCAAATCAATAAATAAATCAAGTACCATCTTTGGCAAGGTCAACCAACTCTGCTTTGTGGTCTGCTTCGCCCTCCATGACCTCCTGTTCCTCTATGGTGCTCTCTTCATCTCCAACTACAAGAAAAAGACAATCAAATAATGAACAACTACAGAGATGAGGAAACGGTACAGACTCTCTGAACATCAATGTTATCTATTTTTGCTCGATGAACCTCGATAGTTTGACACATACCATCTTCGTCAACCAAGGATGAACTTGATTTTCTTTTTTTAGTTGAAGTCGCAACCTCCTAGAAAAAGATATATACACACATATATTAAAAAAATATAGATAAGATGCAATAGGTGAATTTACATTGTCTTTCATTAGAGTGTAGCACCTACCTCTTTATCAGCTTTCACTCCTGTTGACTGACCAGGTACTGTAACACAAGTAATTTAAGTTCAATACAAAATATCTGGTTCTTAAAAAAGTAGTTACAGGTGAGACTGGCACAGTCAGTAAAAGATGTAGAACAAATACATTGTGTTTTATACTTTTGGTAGTAGCTCAGTGGGACGTACCTTTGGCTGAAGCTTTTTGTAAGCTGAGCGCTTTGAGCCTCTTCTCATAAATTTCAAACTGGAGTTTAATTTCCACAACCTGACAGACAGAATATCTCATTCAGACGACTGAAACCACTGTTATTATTTATAAGTCATGACATGGTTTCATAATTAGCACAAAAATAAATACATAAATGAATACCTGCTCGATGTTTGCCCAGAAGAATTCCACCTCTCGTGCAATTGTGCTGGCAATGTGACGAAGATGAATTTCCCTTTCTTTCTTCGACCTCTCTTCACTTTTCTTCTGCTCTTGGTGGTAACGGGCACACGTGCGAACAAGCTGTAGCGGAGACACACGAGACAGTTCAACGAGACATCACCTGCACTGACTGCTCTATCTGTTGTTTGTATGTGTACTTTCACATTATTCCATCTCTGCCATACCTTCTTCGCAGCGGCCTCTTTCCATCTCCTCTCCTGGGCGAAGTCAGCTGCCATCCACTGCATCTCCTCCAGGAGGTAGTCCCAGTGGGACTTTGGACGTGAGGCTTCCACGAGCTTGGGGAGCCTACTGGCCGACCACTGGCCCTCCTTCCTTAGCTCAGAGATGCGTTGATGCACTTGACTCTCCTGGGAAACAGAAGGAGTATGTGACATGAGAATACAAATCAAGAATATTCCTCCGTGTCGCAGTTGCTCAGATAAGAGAAATACAAATACTCAACAGACGACATTGGGCATTGTCAATAACTTTATGCAAATTATTTGTATTTCGCCATCATGAGGAAGTTAAAAGTAATCACCTTTAAAATACAGACAGTACAGGTGTATTGAGAGACATTTAAAGGCACTGAATCTCTTCGGGCCAAGAGAACCAATTGCAGTTAGGGAACTCACCAGTTTGGCCTGCTCAACTTGCTTATCTTGGGTTCCCTCCTGAGAGGACTGCATGGTCGCACTTTGACCAAAGCCACCAATTTTGACAGCGGATATGCCATTGGTTCCAGTCAGTTTGGACTGGGTGCTCGGGTTGATGTTGGAGCCAAGAGGGCGGAGCGGGCTTGCAGTGTGTGGGGTCGGAAGAGCATTGGGAGCGGAGAGGGGAGCGGGAGATATGGATGTCATGGAGTGAGTTGAGTTGGTCATGATTCTCTGGACTGGCTGGTTTGACTCTGTACCAGGGCGAGCAAGTGCCACCGTCTGAGAGGAAGAAAGGAAACAAATATTCTTAATAGGACAACTGGTAGTCTCAAATTAACATTAAACTGTATTAATGTGGTTTTAGGGAGACTGACTGCTTGTCCTGACTGAAGCATGGCCTGGGATTGTTGCTGCTGGGGCTGCAACTGGAGGTGAAGACCTGGCTGCATCTGCTGCTGCAGTTGGGCCTGGAGCTGTGTGTGCGGGTTCACTGCGGTCAGGATAGAACCACCTGGCTGCACCTTCACCTGTGCCTGGAGCTGACCACCAGGCTGGGCCGTGTTCTCCACTAACTGAGTCTGCTGAGAGAGCGTCATGGGCAGGCCGGTCATAGGGAGGGCTCCTTGAGGCAACCTGCCGGGCAGCTGGGGAGGAGGAGTGTGCAGGCTGGCGGCATTCTGCACCGGAGGTCCTTTGGAGGGGTCGTACTGTTGCTGGTTCTGCTTCTGTCCTGCAATCTGGACCGCTTGAGGAGTAGGCGGCATTCCGCCTGTACACATAGTGACCAAATTATAGGACAAACAAAGGGGCGGTGTAGAAAGCAACACAGAGAAAGACGGTAAGAATCAAGTTGTGCGATCTGACGAGAAGTGTTTTGTCTTTTTGTGCTCTAAAAAAAGATTTTAAATGCCATTACGTATTTGGTTCCTTTCCCATAATATATATTTGAGAGACCCCTTTGAACAAGATACATCTTTTGAAGCTAATAAGAAGATAATGAAATAATACCGTGTAAATTTAAATAACTGTTTGAGCTTCAGCTATTAGAGCTCCTCAGAACCTCGCCATAATAAACTAGAAGTACTGTATGAATCAACAGTGTTGAACTACTTCCTGATGATCAGAGCGGAAACTAATGAAAGTCATACAGCAAAATGGTTACAGAAGAAATGAAATCAATGTGAGAATCTACATGTCTCTCAAATAAAATACTACTTTGATTAATGCAAAACCAAAACATTGCATTTCAAAAGTTGAGAGAATGTGGTTAAAAACATCAAAAATTATACGTGCAATAAGAAGAGGGGTTTTTTTTAAGAGAGGAAAAATAGAAATGTTACAAAAGAAAATGAAATAAAAAAACAATAACTTCTGAAAACAAAGAGACAAGGAGAAGAAAGGGGAAATAAAAATACAGAGCGGACACTCACAAAAACACCATATGTTTGGCATGCATGAAGCGATGTCATTCTAGCGGTAACCAAGGCATCTGGATGCCTCACACAGCGACAAAGCACAGAGGTGAGCAAAAGGACACACATGGGGTTCTTGCAGACAGCAGGCCTGAGCGGAGCTGTGCACACTAAAGCAGCGCCTGCCTTACCTCCCTGCACGGCACACCACCTGGCCTAGACGCCATCAACACCTGGCCCTGACACACCCACACCACCACAATCGCAAAAACCCGTGCCGTGAACGCAACTCCTCCACATGATTCCCCTCCTACTTAGACTGAGGGAAAGAAGCCAAGTCAGAACAAAATGCCATGAGATAACATGGAAGGAAATCAACTAAACGTGAACATGAGGTAAATAAAGAGACTCTTGAAGATGCAACATATGAATTGGAAGATTGATGATTTTGAATCCCTTTTGATGATGCAAGGACGGACAATCGGAGAGGGAAAGACTTGTGAAGGAATGACAATGGTAAAACCAAAAGGACGCATGACACGTGGATTCATAAAATGGGAAAACAAGAAAAACCCATTGGAAAGTGAATTTTTTCCCACAGGGTTCCCACTTTCTGTGATCCACCTCCAAAACTGGATGAACATCCATCAGCACGGGAAGGTCTGTCCAAATAAAGATGACGACTAACAGGAACAAACTTCAGAAAAGAAGAGATGGATAACGACGGGTGATCAATAGTTAAAACAAAAAAAGGAAAATCATAAGACATGGCATCTTCCCAATGAGTGGCTACTCTTCTTCAGACTTGGATTGTCTTCTTCCCCATTTTTCCTGACAGAGAGAGAGAGAGAGAGCGAGAGCTGGTGCTGGTACAGCTAAGCCTGAACTTCCTGTGGACTGCTGAGAAACTCCAGCAGATGGATGAAGATCTGTTTGTTGATGCTGCTCGAAGTTTGTTTGTAGAAGATGAATGTTGTGATTCCCTTTTTTTTTTTTTTTTTTTTTTTAAATCTCCTTAGTTTGAGGAAGGGGCTACGTCCGGCAGCATCGAACAGAACACAGAGCAGCCTGGTAGTAGCACTCCTACCTTGCGCAGTTGGCATAAGCTGCTGGAGTGGAACGCCAGGTGATCCTAAAGGAGCTACACCAGGATGCTGGAAAATCAGCCCATGGCGACCAACGTCAATCCGGGACCTCTTAGCCTGATCTGGGATTTAAAACACACAATACCCTCATAACGCAAAACAAAAGCACTCGGCACAGAGCAATGACCTTCTGAAGACCTTACAGGTCGCCTCTCCTTCCTCGGGTTAAGACTTCAACACAGAGCGCTAGTAGAGGATGCCAAATATCTAAAAGCAGAAGCAATTAGAGGGAGAAAAGAAAACAAACAGAAAACAAAGCAAACGGGGAGGAAACAAAGCAACATAAGAGAGACAGCAGTCTACGATCCTTGCCCTACCTGCTTGCACCATAGCCTGCTGCCTCTTAAAGGCATCCATTTCTCCAGGGCTTGTCATTGTGCCAGCAGCAGTCCCTTGGTGTCCCTGCAAAACAAAAACAAAACCACACATCTCAAGGAGTTGGTGAGGGATTTCATCCTACAACAGATTCTCAGTAGAATCTGAGAAAGAAAATGTAGATAAGTGCTTTGTACTAAGTGCTGAAACCAATGTTGCCTCCATCACCTGAAACTGCTGCTGGACAGAGAAAGCTGCAGAAACATTGGGAGGAAGCTGCGTTGCTATGGCAACCGGTGTCACTGCCTGGCCATCCTTTCCAGTAACAACCTTTACCTGAAAACAATACAGATGAGCAAGAGGAGCGGTATTCATCGGATGAAATGAATGTTATTTAATTATACAAGTCCTTTGTGATCTCACACCCAGAGGCAGCCAATACCTCATCGTTAATGACCTCGGACTGTTCTTCCTCCTCCTCCTCCTCTTCAAGGTCCAAGTCGTTCTGTCTCAAATAAGTGTACAAAGGAACACAGGGCTTCTTCTTGAAAGCCAAGTAGTCCATCATGTTCCCTTGGAGGTGCTGCAGGAAGAAAAGCTCAATCAGGTATTCTTTGAACACTTCCTTCAGGCTGTCCATCTTCTTGGTGTGGTGCTCCAGGCACTGTTTCCTCAGCTGAGCAATCTCTGGCGTAGAAGGAGCAATTTCCTCCAACTTCTTGGGAACCTGCTTCTTCATGGCGCCCACAGCCATGCCCGTTGATGTGAGAGGATTGTTGGCGATGCCTTGTGTGGGACTGGTGAGGGACGGGCTGGAGGGAGGAATGGAGGAGGGTATGCTGAAGGACGCCGTGGCTGCGGTTCCGACTCCGGTAACCACACCTTGCGCCGGCTTCTCGAATATCATGGGCCGTGCGAGCTGTCCTTGAATGATACTGCTGATCTGCGGAGGTAGGTTGGATGTGGTGATGTGACCGGGGCTGCCCAGAGTGGAGAGAGCGGTACCGGTGGCCACGGGACTCTGGGGCCCGAGGTGGTGGATGGTGCCTCCGGTCTGCGAGTGAGGCTGAGAGAGCCGGCGTTCCCTCACAGAGCCCGGCGCCCCCGGAGAGGCCAGCTGTACCTGTCCAGGTGTGGCGGGGCTGATCTGGGCCAGTCCCGTCCCCTCCTGGTACACAAAGTGGCCGCTTCCCGACGGACTGCCCAGACTGATTTGCCGCACTATCATACCAGCTTCCACAAACCGCGTCGGACTCTGCCCGCACACACCCAGCGCCGTGGTCGGGGCTCCCGGCCTCGTCACACCTTGCAGGGGAACCGGGCTGTGCTGGGTGGGGCTCTGGGGCTGCATGGGCTGCGGCACAGGTGAGGTGACCTGGATGTAGGAGGAGGGAGCGGGCTCAAACCTCCACTGAGGGGCCGTGTGCTGGAAGCCGGGGGAGCCTGGGTTCTGGATGGGGACCGGGGTTAGGGTGATCTGCTGGTTCCCACTCACCATCTGCCCCACGTTCTGTAACGTGATGTTCATGTTCTGGCCTGTGACCGGGCTTCGACTCATGATGATCTGATAGTTGGGCGACTGCGGGGCCGACGGGCTGGCGGCGGAGGAGAACGTGGTCACAGGAGATTGAGGGTGGTTGACTGTGGCTTGCTGCTGTGTGACTGCCATGGTGGGCTGCTGCTGCTGCTGCTCCTCGGCTTCAGACCCGCTGACAGACTTGGATCTCTGGAGCTGTCGTTGCATATTCTGTGATCCACTTCCATGGTGCATTGCGTGACGCTGTTTGTCTAAACACAACAATCTGTAGAAAGGACACAGCAAAGCACGACGGTAAGTTATTGTTTAACTATTTAATATGAGACGCAAATGTCCAAAAAAAGACAATTTCGGTTTGAATTTCCCCTTTTGAATGAATTCATACTTAAATACTAATAGTATTTATAGTAGTTTAAAATGTTTGTGTTGATATCTTGACATAAAAATGTCATACACAGAGAAAAAACAAAGGATTTTCTCCATATCACCCATTTTTTGTATAAATAAGACATTTTAAACGCTGTCTTGGCCAAAATAACTGCGATACACAATTAATAATTCATGAACACCGGACCTGTAATGGTTCAAAAGCCAAGAGCTGTTACCTTTAAGCCCAAAACATACACCTTTAAGCAGTTATACATCAGGTTTTAATAGTTAATATATATAAAGTTAGTCGTTTTAATATCTACAACCCACCTTTACATCTGTGTGCACCTTTAGCGCCGGAAAAAAACATCTATCTCTCCAGATTTAATACAGATTGTCCTGTAATGGAAGTGATAGGCTTGGTTTAGTCTAATCTGCTGTTTTGAGTGTGTTATATCTTTTAAAAAAAAGGACTGCACATCATACTCTGATTAATGTCAACAGATATTTTGGTTCAAGATTATTTCTTCACACAAACACAAACAAACAATTAAAATCATCATAAAGCGAAACTGTACCAAACAAACATGTTTTCTTTTAGCTGTAGAACAAAATGCACCTCAGCAGCTCTGCAGCACCTCGTTATAATTTGCACCTTTCACCTGTCTATACTGTCATTTCACCAATATATCGATTAACTGTGCAACCCTGATGTTAAACAAAGGTGATATAACCCTCTGTGGTGGTAATGTGTGCTGTTGCCGCTGACATATCACACTTTCCTGCACACTGCTCGTTTTAAACCCTCAATAACTGCACAATATTCACACATATTGCCGTATTTCTCCCCGATATTGACTTTAAACTCATTGTTTGTTACGACGTTAGCTCCGGGGCGTAACGCTACCTAAAGCTACATAGCCAGCTCTCCGCGATTACCAGAATAATACAGTCAGAGGCGTGAGGTAGAGCAACGAATATACTCGAAATAAATCACAAATATTATACTGTATCACCCGCAATAAAGCTGTTTGTGCCAGTTCATTAATTACAGCGAGCCTCTCTGCGGGACGCGTGCTAACGACGTTAGCTCGTCGCTGCTAGCAGGCCAGCCGCCGGTGAATAAATACATTTTACCGCCTCAAGTGGGTTACTTACAGGGAACTGGGGCGTCTGCGCTGGTTGCATGAATCCTAAGTCATGTTTACGAGAAGTCACATGCTGTAACAAATGTTATTCCGTGAACAAATCAAACATCGATATTGCTAAGCGGCTATCAATGTTTGGGAGCTAATTTCATTCAGCAACATGGCGACCGCGGCAACCTCTTGTGTGACCCGGATGACGTTCCATCTTCCCGGAAGTGGAAATACCATAAAAGGACTTTTTATTTATTTATTT